CCGAGCCAGCACCACCATCTTGTATTAGGCTTAATATGCTTATTTTCTTCCAGGTGCTTTGCCTATAAGTATGTCCCAGGCTATCTGGTATTAACCACGATTCAGCTGCCCACGGGAGATAAGCATGCAATTATCCTCTCCAAAAGCTATTAAAAGAATAAGACCTACTCATGCCAACCTTTATTAAACAGATGACATACACAAATTAAGATCTTATTAAAACTCATACTATATTAAGGAATCCTGGTTATATTAAGGAATTTATTTTCTTAATCTTGCTCACTAATTCTTAACTTAGAAGTCACAGCAAATAACCTAGTCTCTAACGATGCTATTACAATGCTTCGATGCAGCAGTGAGCTCGAAGCTAGATGACATGCTCATGCTCTGGAGGACAAATGTGGCTCTTGTGTACTATTTTTATCCTGAGCATATTACAGTGCCATCTCTTGACACACTGGCTAATCAGTGCTTTTTAACTGTGGCCATATGTTAAAATCACAAGGGAGTTTGCTTTGCTTTAATTAAATACTGATAGACAATCTCCACTCCAACACACTGAAGTCAACTCCGAGATGAAGCCTGGATATCATTATTTCTATTCTAAAGGTACAGCCAGTGTTGAGAACCACTGTGTTGAATGAATTTCTTAATAACATTCCAGTTAAAAGGATCCTACTGATTAAAAAATTTGAAAGCCAATTAGAAAATAACCAAGAACATTTATGAATAAAAATGTTTAGTGCATTACTATTAATAAGAAATTATAAAACTTTAAGTGTCTAACAGCATGAGATCTAATAAATAGGCACAAGCAATTATATAGCGACTTAAAGTGATACAGATGTACTAGAAATATGCTCACGACACAGTGTCAAAGCAAGTTACAAAACGACATGTATCAGACCTATACTTTTAACAAAAATGAGATCATAGCTATCCTGAGATATACACTTAAAAAACTCTAAGAGACAAGAAAAATTTTAAGTGATTATTACTGAGTGGTAGAACTGTAAGACTTTTTTTCATTTTTACTTTCTAACATTTTCATATGTACACATTGTTTAAGCTATAGGAAAGATACTTTTTTTTTTGAGACAGAGTCTCACTATGTCAACAGAGGTAGAGTGCCATGGTGTCATAGCTCACAGCAACCTCAAACTTGGGCTTAAGAGATTCTCTTGGCTCAGCCTCCCAAGTAGCTGGACTACAGGTGCCTGCCACAACGTCCAGCTATTATTTGTTGCAGTTGTCATTGTTGTTTAGCTGGCCCCTGGTCTGGTTCAAACCCGCCAGCCTTAGTGTATGTGGCTGGCGCCATAACCACTGTGCTACAGGCATTGAGCCAAGATTCTTAATCTAAATCTTTCACTTCCACAGTATTCCTTTGGTTAGTGTTTGATTTTTCTGCAATAATATCATCCAAAAAGAAAAAGCACCAATGACTTATGTTGGTTAATTTTATGTGTCAACTTAGTAAGCAATGGTGCCCAGGAATCTGGTCAAACACTGGCCTACATGTTGCTGAGAAAGTATTTTGAAGATGTGATTAATATTTACTATCAGTTGACTTTAAGTAAAGCAGATTACTCTCTATAATATGGGTAAGTCTTATTCGATGAGTTAAAAGGCTTAAAAGAAAAAACTGAGTTTTCCCACAGAAGGAATGCTGTCTCGCGACTGTAACATAAGAATCCTGCCTAAGTTTCCCGAGTGCCCTCAAGATTTTAGACTCGAGACCGCAACATCAACTCTTACCTGAATTTCCAAGCTGCCCTAGAAATTTCACACTTGCCACCCCCTACATGATCCAAGTCCTTAAAATAAATCCATCCATACCTTCTTACTCTCCCTCCCCTTCCATTTTCTCTGATAAAGATACAGTTAATCTTTGAACCATACTAGTTTGAACTTGGTGGATCCATTTATACACATTATTATTATTATTTTTTGGAGAAGGGTCTCACTCTGTTGGTCAGGCTAGAGTGTAGTGGCATCATTAGAGCTTACTGCTACCTCAGACTCCTGAGCGCAAGCTATCCTTCTGCCTCAGCCTCTCCAGTGGCTAGAACTACAGGGGCGTGTCACTAGCCCTATAATTGTTGGTTTCTCTATTATTGGTCAGGCTAGATTTTTTTCAATAAATACATTTGGTCCTTCTCATCCATAACTCAGATTTAAAATATAGTATTCAGGATGCAAAACCTAAGTACACAGAGGGGGCTGGGTTTTCCTAAACTTGAGCTCTTCAGGGCCAACTTTGGGAGTTGAGTACATATTTGAGCACAGACTTTGGTATCCTAGAACCAGTCTCCCAGGATACCAAGGGATGACTACATCCTACTGGCTTTGTTTCTGTAGAGAACGCTGATGCATGACTGAAACCTAATCACTCCCCCCTCTCCAGCTACCCACTTTGGCTTCTTAGACTTCACTAAGGGACCAAGTAGAAGGGATGAAGGAAATTATATACTCTTCTACTTCTAACTACATTTTATGGGGCATATGACTGAATTACTATTGCTGTCTTACCATAGGTTTTCAGAGTGGAATTTTCTTCTCTCTGAAGGTCTTCTAGCCAAACTGCAAGCACAGAGGAATCAGCATTCCAGAGCAAGTTATTTACCTAGTAGGGAAAAAAAGATCTGTCACTGGCCTTTAGCAATGCATTCACTTCAAAATCTTTACAATAGCCGAATTCTCTGCTCTCACAAATCAAATAATCCCACTACCTGAGCTAATCCCTAGCTATAAATTACTAACTTACAAAGTCATTAAATGAATCTGTGAAACGTCATTCTATGTAGACAACTTAAAAAAAATAAGTGCACCTTGCTTAAAGAGCAAAAGAGATTTAAACGTCATCAGATGTAAGATGGTATTTTTAGACAATCAGGGAAATTTGAAAATAGACTGGTATTATTAATAGATAACACTAAGTTAAGGTGTAATAACAGAACTATGGTTATATAAAGAAAAACATTCTTAACTATTAGAAATAAATATTGAAAATATTATTTCTAGAATTAAAACTCCTGGAAATAAAAATGTGTGTTTATGGATGTAAGTATAGGCCAAGTAGTAGTGGACAGGTGAAAATAATTTTGCAAAGTACTGATATCTACTGAAAGTAATGAACATATATGAGAGTTTACTAAACTCTTCTCTCGACTTTTAGGGTATTTAAAATTTTACATAATTAAAGATTACCATTTATGTGTTTCTACTTCAATAAGGATCTTAATAACACATGTTTCATAAGATTTAAATATAGGCTGGGCGCCTGCAGCTCAATGGTCAGAGCGCCGGCTGTGCGTACTGAACCAGCGGGTTCAAACTGGCAGGGCCTGCTAAAAATAAAAAAGAAAAAAAGAAAAAGAAAAAAATTTAAATATTATAAATAAAAAAACCCTCATAACTGGAAAAATTATTCTGTTGTCAAAATAAACAATAAAAGCTATCATTAATTTTTTTTTAAAAAATGTCTTTGGAAAAATAATTTCTCTATTGTAATAAAAGAGTCAGATATAGGAAGCCACCATTTTTATTACCATCTACTCTGGAGCATCTATTTATATGACATTCCTATCAAATATAAATTCCCTCTCTAGCTGCAGCAATCCTCTAAATTTGATGGTGAAACAACACAGGCACCTACCTTAACCTCATCTTTGAGAAAAGGAAGTGTAAAGTGTCCATGAAGAAGGCCATTTTTCTCAAAAAACACAACATCCTGCTGGTTGGGTTTATCTTGTGTAGATGCAATCAAACTGCCTGAGGGTCTGCAAGTAAAGAATGGCTTTAAGAACAAGATAAAATTCAGGAAAGAGTTTTTTTCCAGCAAAAATAAATGAATGAATGAAGAAGTATCTTTATCGCAAGAAGTTTTAAGTCCCATGCGTCCCTTATCTCTCAGCAAGCAGGTCACCACAGCATGGGAACGCACTTGAACAGGGGAAAGATGCCTTTTCCCAATTTGTGCAAAAGCTCCATTTGTACAAAGCCTTAAAGATTTAAAGTGTACTCAATGACTTTTAGAAAAGCAATTAACCTACTTCTCCTTTAATTATATGACTCCAGCAAATATTCATATTTTTTAAGACTTTCTCCATCTATTGAAAATATCTTAATTGCCTCAACTTTACATATCTGCCCCTAGTGTCCTAATTCAAATACATTTCTCTCTTGCTCTACTATCCATTACCATCCTGATAGGACACAAGACATCTAAAACCTAGAGACTCACTGCATGTAATAGATGCTACTGAGACAGAGGAAAAATTTCTTCTGTCTATAATCAGGGCAGCCATACACAAAAGACAAGCAGTGACCTTAAGAGAATGGAAGGAGAGGGCCTGAATCCAGTCTGTATGTTCCTTGGCAAGCAGATCCTCCTACTGTGGGAATTACTGCAAAGGAAGGAAGCTCTTTTCTTAGTTTTCA